TTTGTAAAACGTAGGATGTTTACCTTCTGAAGGGTCTGAGCTCCTGTGGTGGAAGAGGGCTCCCGCCCCAGCCTTCCACAGCCACACCTCCTCCAAAGGTGACTTTACATCCCGACAGCTCTCAAACATTAGCGCTGGTTGCTTCTGCTGTTTGCTCCACCATGCTGCTCTGCCCACCCGCAGGTCCATCTTGTCTGTCCTTCTGTCCGGCATTGCTACGTGTCACTGTAAGCCCTAGACCAGACACAAACCCATCTCCTCCCTTTGACACAGGCAGCCTACGAAGCAGTGTGAAAAAGTCTCCATAAGCTTTCAGAGACAACACTTTATTGATTATAAACACCCACAGGGATAACGGAGACGCTCAAAACATAAGAGCTTCTGATCTACATGAAAAATACAGCTAACATGTCTTCAAGGCCTAATATAAACCCCAGCATATTTACACTGCCAACTTCCAGTCTAATCCCACGTAAAAAAAAAAAATCTTCATGTAAGCATTACCCAAGCAAGGTGAAACACTGCTTGTGTTTTGCAAAGATTGTGTGTTTTCATTGCCTAGGATCAAGGCCACGGGAGAAGCCCGAGGACAGCACACGCGGCCCCGCGGGGAAGGAGCGGCACCAGCTAAGACGGCCGTCGGTGGCACTCTGGGCAGAGCAGAGCGGTGCAACGGCACCTTTATTCCTCCCACTGGAACAGACCGTGAAGCATTTCCTTAGGAGCAGGACCAAAGCAGAAAAGCAAGCACATGTTTCACAAGCATCTGACACTGGTAGCCCATCACTCATCGCTCCCTCTGATATTAAAGCCCCCGCCCCCCCAAATCAAACTTTTCAAGTCAAAAGACCCAAGTGCTCAAGTTGTGTAATGCCATGGCATTTTACTGTAGCCCTTTTTTACAAGTGAGAAGAGTAGGACAATAGTAAAACAGCTCATTCTCTCAAGATCAAAGAGATTTTATCTCTATTTTTTTCCCCAAAGTCTTCTTTTAATATCTTATTTTTCAATGAAAGAACCCAGGATTCAATTTATGCATTTTACTTAACAAAAGCAATCAGGGATGAAGCACATCCTCATTTCCTTCTCCGTCTCTCATTTCCAAACTAGAACAACTTCCTGCTTTACCAACACACTTACTTTTAGACAAACTATGAAGTCTACACCCATTCTTAAAAGTATAAAGAACAAAGGAGGGAAGAGGTGGTTTGATTTTTGTTAGGTTTGTTTTGGGGTATTTTGTGGGTTTTTTTGTTTGTTTATTTTTTTTTTAATTGCTAAAATGAAATGACGACTTTCAAGTATAAAGCAGAAAACACACCTTTAATAACTACTGCTCTACAAGATACACTCCAACCTGTTCTTTAAGATGAAGTCATCTGCAGGTATTACGCCAGCTAGAGCATGACTTCCGACAAGTCGTCTTTTGTGGCGTTTGCACACTCAAACAAGATGTCTTATTCTACAGGCAAAATCCCATTCCAAAAAAAGCCAGAAAACCACTCAGGTCAAATACTCATATCACGTCTGGTTACTTTATTCTTCATCTGTGCAGTCAGTTAAAAGAACAGTTAACAGTGAAAACAGACAACCACAGAAGCTTTAGGTACAGTATTGTAACACCGAGGAAGCAAATGACCACATTGAACACATTGTTTATGCTGGTCATTTCCAAACAAAACAGAAGTACATACACAGGTCTCATTCAGTGTAAAACCTGATATTAAGCAGCAAGTTGCTCACAAATTGCAGCAGAGTATATGGCATTTTCTGCAAACAGCTACAGCAGCAGTGCTTAATGGATGAACTGCATAGAATTAGCCTCACGGGCAAACATTAAATCACCACAATAATAACCTTAGTGGCTCCCTAACAGGTCTGAGTTATGCACTTCAGCATGAACAAAATTGTTTACACTCCTCAAGTTTTAGCAATAGCTTTTGTATTTTTTTTCCACCAGTCTACACTGTGTTTGTTCCAGCCTTCACTGCGGTAACTGTTTTCAATTAACTGTCACATACAACATAGGTAATTACTGCTTATTCAAAGTTACACAGCCCCTGCCAAGGTAATATGACTCTATTTAAGATAAGAACCCAAAATACATTCAAGAGAATGGCTGCAACAATAAGGCAATAAACCGTTTCAAAAATAGATCCTACTAAACAAAACGAGATCAACTGCGTAACCTGCTGCCTTCATAAGGTTTCAGACTTGAATGGGTCAATTCAAAGTTAAGTGCTTACCCACCAGCAACATTTCAGAAGTACATTGGTAAAAATATTCAAAGACATGAGTATGTTGGACTGCCAGCAATCACAACCCAGGTCTTATCACAAGCATGCTTTCACACATACAGCTTCGCTTTTACAGGTTTGTATGAAGTGCCCTGTACAAAGATTCTACCACAGACTCCTTCAGGAAAAATTATGCATTGACAGAAGACATCAGCATTCCAGCATTCTTCCAAACCACATAATATAAACCTTTGGCCTGCTATTAGTAAGATCATTAAAGTTATACACCAGGCAGACAGCGTTATTGGCAGCTATGTCACAGCAACATTAAAAAAATAACATCAGCTGTTTAAAAAAAAAAAGAAGAGACTGAAAATAACTTGGGGGAGTGAACTGTACACCTACATACAGCAAGGAAGGGAGAAGGACGTTGTTTGGCCAGAGCAGATGAGCTACCCAGAGGTTCCACATCCATCTTATTGCATATTTGATCAGTGTCAGCATTCAAACCCACATGGATTTTTCCTTCATTAACTTGCTCCAGAGTCTTGATTCCTGCACCTTTAGAGCTACCCTGACTAGCTAGGTATATTGCTGTAACTTCACGTTTCTTCACAGCTACTAGAAGCAGAGACTGAGTTAACTGTTACTTATCTCAGCCGGGGATACTATAAGCATCAGCCTTTTGCCATCTTCTGTGCACTAAAGTCTAGGTAAAAGTGAAATGCAGTGGAGTGTCAATATCCTATGTCAGTACAAAAAAAAAAAAAAATCTTTATTTGTAAGCCTATATTAGCAAAGCTCAAGACAAAGATGCTAAAGATGTTTAAGAAAAATGTACCAATACTTGCTTAGCCCTGTTAAACTGAAAGTCTCATCATGTGAAAAGACATACAGACACAAGAATATAGTGACATTAAGTTGTCAAGGCAAACAACTGAAAGCAGCAGGGAATAGAATCTGATTGCTTTTGCTCAGTTTGAATAAATGGAAATTTTTCTAATTAAAAAAACCCCATCATTAGGCATTCCCTTGCCAGCAGACAGAACAGAGGAAGGAGACTATCAATATTTCTACGTGTGTTCAAAGGATATGTGCATAGCACTGCCTAATCATGCTTGAAAATGTAACCCTGTGATACAAAGCATGCTTTACATACATGCCAGTAAACAAAACAAAGACTTTTAGACGCCAAAGGAAGGTCAGCGCTGATCTTATACATTTTAATACTGAACCATCCAAATCATTTTATGAAGTGAATGCTCTCATTAGCTTTTGAACAGTATTCACAGGTGACAAATTAAAACATAAAGGCACTAAAAGAGTGCTGTTTTCCCAGATGCAGGCCTACTTGATGAAAAAGCTAAATGTTGCTGCTTTTAGCCATATAAACGAACCAAACCACAAGTTTGGAAGTCATAGGTTTAAAATTCTTAACAGCTCCAAGTACAAGATGAATTCTGTAGTCCTGTTTAACAGTTGTTATACAGGGAACAATGATCCAAACACCACCACATATCCAAGCTTCAGGAGAAAACTGAAGTTGTTCATGACAAGACACATTGATAGTTCTCTCTCATACACACATCAGAGGCGGTACATGCGTGTTCTTCCCCTTTCCGAAGATCTCACGCATCAATTTGCAGAGTTGCTAGATAAACAGAAGTGGAGCTCTTCCTTCTGAAGTGCAATGTCAAAATAGCTGTATAACTCATTCTCAAAGACAACAGGAGCAACTGCTTGTTACCGGTAAAAATCAGTAAGTCCTCCACCAAACATGAGGTACCAAATGCATTGCCATAACACTATCAAAGTGTTACAGTGACGTCTACCAAATTGGTCAGAATGCCTTAACTGGTTCCAGGAAAGAAGTTATGTCCAGGTACCATATACCTGATGTAAAGGTGTACAAAGTGAACTAGAGAAGTGCTTAGTATCCAAAAACCAAAGATGACACTTCAGAATACTAAACAGTGAGTACATAACCTAGGCACGTTCCCCTCTCCAACACAAGTTGGACTTAGAGCAAAAGGTTCAGGAGAAACATACAGAAACCTAGCAGGACTGTTTAGCCTGTAACCCTTCTTATGTCAAAACCAAGAAAACAGGTCTTATCACCCGATTCCTTTTTTTGCCTTTTTTTTCTTAAAAAGGAGATAATAAAAACCTCCAAATCATGTGCCTCTAATATTGATTTTTCGTATTTCATTTATACTTTTTTTATATATATATAAGAATGTAACTAAAATCTCACTTTAGAATACTTCCTAAAGCAGGATATTCTTTCAACCGTTTTTCAAGTCCACGTGCATTCTCAAGGTTGAAGAAAAAAATATATATTCATATATAGCTAAGGAAATAAAATTCAATTTCACTATATGTAGTTACAGTGCTGTAAAGAAAAAATAATTCAGAAACCATTTCAAGTCTGAAATGTTTACTATATTTAGACTAATGCAAAGGCTAAGCCTATGGTCCAGGACCTGTTTTTAATCTGTATGCAGAAACAGGAGCTACAGCAGCTCATCATTTTTCTGGTGGAGATTTCTTTCCACCCCTCCTTTCTTCCACTATTTTATGACTTGCTGCTGAAGCCCTCCCTGAACCTCTACCGAAGTAGCATACATTGGTAGTTCAGAAGTAAAGGTCCACAGGTATTAATATGACCTCTTAAGTCAGTTTTTCAGTAAGAACAAACCACTGAACAACACAGTGCAGAGGTGCTTAACCATTCATAGTTAGTCAGAAGTTCAACGAGTACTTTTAAGTTGTGTCTTCTGTAGGTACCCTTCGCTGTCGAGCAGATTTCTGTCTACCTCTCTGAGGCGAGGGTGGAGTCTCCTGTTCAGCTTCAGTCTCTGAAGGCTCGTTGTCTCCCTGTTGGGACCCTGTGTCACCTATCAGTTCTCTCAGGAATTTGAATTTAGACAAGAACAATTGCCAGACCACGTACCAGCCTGCAGGAGAAAGAAAAAAAAGGTACCGCTTAATTACTTCATACAAATTGATAGCCAGCTTTCAGGCAAAGTATACCAGAAAAGCAAGAAAATATTTGATCATCTCCCATCCTCTAATTCCCAACTTTCAACCCCAACACCCCTCCACAACACACCCACTCCTTTCCACAGTCCTATAAATACCAATTTGACTTAATAAAGTTTGTCCTCATCCAGAAGCAAACATTTAAGCTCCAGGCAAGGACCTAGACGTTCCCAATTGTACTGCCACAGCAAGCAGTAGGTGGGTAATCACCATTGTGCAGACAAGGGTCTTAACTGTCAGGAGAAAAGGCATTTCTGTGGTTATACCTAAAACAAGGAGTCAGGATTCATTACACAGGGCTTCTACCATCACTTCGCAAACATATTGTTCTGAAAATCGCATTTTAAAAGCCACATTACATAATCGCTATTAAGCACACTTGTGGAGATCTTGAAATTAATACCATATTTTATAATAAATCCTATTCTGAAATGCACAAGGTCTTCCTTATGTTCACTAAAAGACCACATCCCCCAAATTCAAGGTGTTCCATCACCATGCCCAAATCCCATTAAAGTAAAATTAACATTCTCTGGTAAATTTGTGTTCTGCTCTACTGTTAAAATGCTCCGTGTCCCAAAACTATTCAAGTGAAGAGTTGAGACGGTCAAATTTCTAGCGTATCTCTTGAAAAAAATATTTGAGATCCAGCTCCTCAAGTGTTTCTATGACAGGTAGCCAAGGAACTTAAAAAAGCAGATATAAATATATCTAAACCAAAACCAGAATCTTCCTTTTAAAAGGTCTCCCTTATCTAAGCATTTAGGTCAAGAGAGACTGGAGTTTTACCCAGCTGAGAACTCATGGTCTCCCTTTCCCTCCAGCTAACCAGTCAAGTTTCATCATCCATAAAATAGGAATGTAACTTATGTGTGAAATACACAGTTAAGCTGCGTAAAATTTAAACAGCTATTTGAAAACATATGCTATGTAAGCGTCATTTGCAACACCAGAAACCATCTGTCTTGTGTAGAGCTATAAATTAATACTCTCATTCTCTGTTCAGAAGGTCTTGCTAGCTATTCAAGAGTATGCTGCTGACCTACGCAAATATTAAGAGCCTTATTTTACAGAGCTAGGGAAACCCATCCTCCCAATTACACAGCTGTCAGCAGAAACAGACTTCCGAGCATGGACAACAGGGGTGCAACAGGGAAGAGGGAAAAAAGACTAAGTGGCACTTGTGTAACCACAGCACCACTATTTTTCTTCCTCTTCTGTAATCAGAGTCATGCCAGTATGGGCAGGCCATTGCTTCGGATGAAACAAGATCCCACCCTTCCCCTCCCTCCTGCAATACTTTTCACATCTTGCAGACTTTTAATTTCCGTAACTTCTCTGCTGCTGAGGACAGTTGATGGAAAGCTTTTATATGCTAACCTTTTATGATCTAAATTAATTCCTAAAGCCTACACCAAGTATTTCCTTTTTCCATTAATACCTAAACCTTTCAATGACTTGTGATTAAATTGAATCTGGTGAACCACAAATGCCTTAAATCCCCTGCACAAACCAGGGGCAAAAGCGAAAAGCAAAAACCTCAATGGCAGATGTCTGGTTCTGGCATCTTTTTTTTCTTTCAGATCTAGAAGTAAGAATTGAAGCAGCAACTCTTTGAAAGTTGTTTCCATTGAGGGGTATTCCAGGTCTCTGGAAGCTTCATTCTGAAGACCATAAATCAATCCATTCTTCTCACAGGTCTAACCATCATTAAAAGTAATCAAATTTCCGAAAGCCATGCTTATTTGTAGTCCACATGGGAAAGAAAATGCATAAAACATTCCAAGCGAATACAGGAAACTTGCAAGAAAGTGAGACCCAAGCAGAATATTATTACAAGCCATATTTAAATGTCTTCAACTCCCCAATTTGTTGTCAGAGCCAAAATTTGGGACACAAGACTTAGAAGTACATGAAAAACATGCGGTACATTCTACTAAATCCACTTTAGCCTCTGGGGGGGAGGGGGGGGGGGAACTCTCAGCCACAAATTGTTTGGTTGGGTTTTTGTTTGTTTGTTTAAACTCTTACCCAAAACACCTGCAAAGTGAACACTGTGAAACAGACACATTACTTCTAGAGAATACCAAAGGGCAGGCCCAAAATATTCAGGGCCTTCCCCCCCAAAAAAAGAGTTATAGGGCACTGTACAGAAGTATGACTTGAATATATGTAGTATAAATAAATACCCCATTAAGGGGGGTACTTTAACTTCGGCTAGATAAAGCGGATCACATGCTTCCTCTATCACTGCGAACAGGCCACTTAACAGACGGAATTACTATTTGGGGGGAGGAGGGAAGAAAGAAATGGTAAAGAACATTCACACTTCATTCTCAGACACTCTCAAAAGCAGCATTAATTTTTTTTTCAATGTTTGGTTTGAGTTAGAGCACAACAGTCTGAGTATCCAAAAGGATACTCTGTTGCCTTCAGAGCTCTCTAGCTCAAGACGACAAACAAGACAGTGTAAATAATCAGCCAACAAGACTGATTATAGTAGACAAACAACTAGACTAATGATAACAGACAGGTGAAATCAACCACGATGCAGTCCATTGACAAGAAAATTACAACAGGCTTCGCCAATGGTAATAGTGGGAGGGTAACCAGGCTGGGAAACTAGAGTTTCAGAACCTCACAAGCTCTCCCAGCCTGTACCAGAGGCATTTAGGTATAAGGTAATCAAAACAGAGAGAATGATTTCTCCAACTTGCTCTAGTTACAGCGCCAGCTTGGATGGAAAGTTTTAAAAAAAAAAAAAATCCTCAAAACAAAACACACTTGTCTGAATCAAGTTAAGTCTGCCTCTTCAGCTGAGGCTCCCTGTCGCCTCACTGTTACTAAACACGTAAGTAAGAATTTCCTTGGAAATAACCAGACTACTAAAGAACAAGCTATTCCGGGTAAGAGAAACTCTCTCCAGCAGCAATATCAACTAAATACACCAGCAAACAAAACCACACACACAGAAAGAGCCTGGGGGCAGATTCACAGTACTGAGTTACTTCTGAATCAGAAGACGATGCGTTTTCTATTAATTTTGCAGCCTCTTAAGAACATTGCAAAATGGTAATACCTGACATCATGCCATATGGAAGAACTGTAAGTTACATAATAGCGTATTTTTAAAAATAAAGTAATTGTAAAGTAACTTAAAATACACAAAAAAGGAAAACGGGCATTTCCATGCAGTCTTGTCTTTGCAGCTCCATTTAGCTTTGCAACTATTTTGCTGTAGAGCTCTTCCTGGACAGGTAACCCACACCACTGGTTTGCATCTCAAAAGCTTCCACTTTGTTCAGGCAAGCCATCTCAAAGAAATCCTACTGGTTTAACTTCACCACACACAAAATATTTGATTTGAATCAGTATTCCAGTGCTTACTTTATTTTCTTTAGCCATTTATCTTTTCACACCATCCTTGGCTTGATTGAACCTGCGGAACATACCCACAATACATCTTCAGCAAACAAGCAGTGATGACATGTAGACTATAACATACACTATTTCTACATTAACTGGTGAAAGAAGTTGCCTCTCAAAGAAGCAAGCCAGGTCCAACTGTACATCATCACAACGCTAAGCAGGGGCTCCAGCTCTTGGTGTAGCAGATACCTGAATCCTGAGAGAGCAGGGAAATCCTGTCTACCACAAACAGACAGTATTTTGCATTTAGGCAGAAGAGCAGCTCCCAGCCTCTGCAGCATTTAGTATTCACTACAAGCTAGGAGCCACTGTCTCACTTAAAATGCCACAGCCAGGTGCCATCCAAAGACATTCAAGCCACACTTGGCATTGTGTGATCAGTATGTCAACCCCTCTTATAAATCATGACGCAACGTGTTTGTGAAGATGGGACCATGAGTCAAAGCCTCTTCTACTGACTCATACATAGATGTATGCAACATCTCTGTAATATCAGGATGTTAAACAGTTTTTATGATTTGATTACATTTCACTGAAGCTACCTTTACTGTTATTTCCCATCCCAGCTCTTAGTTCTTTGTAAAGGAAAAAGAAATAAAGCAATCCGACTATGTTATTCCCCCTCAAAAGGCGAGGGGTACAAGTCTCAGGTCCATGTTTTCCATTCACCTTATACTGGCCTGTACACAAAAGCTAACAGGAGTGTTTTCTTTATTGGAGCACATTTCCTCTTCCATTTGAATCAGGAAGAGCAAACAAAACAAAAAACCCAGGCTAATATGGAGTGCTAGGTTAAAGCAACCTGATTTTTCTTACGTGAAATACAAATGAAACCAAGAAAGGAAGGAAGGCAACATGGTAATGGCACAAGTCAGAGTCTGAAGATCTGGCTTCTATTTCTGACCCTACTATAGAATTCCTGTGCAGTCTTGCAAGATCACTTTACCTCTGTGTCCCTACTGATTTGAAAACAGGATGCTACTACTCCAGCACATGAAGACTAATTTAGAACTGGGTTATTACCAAGGTGAATGTTGCCTGTATTCAAATGCTGAAGTGTCCATCACAGAAAATCTTAAACAGCTACAGCTGGAAAAAAAAGGAAAAAAAAAAAAGGAGCACGGAGCTCTAGATGCTAACCTGAGATTCAGGAGAACAGGGTTCTACTCTGAGAGTTCCATGTCAGATTTCTTCTGTGACCACAGAGAAGTCACTTTAATGCTGCACCCTTTTTAAGATGTAGATAACATACTGCCCTAGTAGATAGCTCTGCTATGGAGAAGATCAGACTGAAGGAAGCATACACTACTCTGATACTGGAATAACAGAAGACATCAGGTGACAGAGTGCTTGGTTCTGCATGGCTCCTTAAACCTGGTCCCGTTTAATGCCACACTCTACCACATGCTGCTTGCTGACTGATCGCAAGGAAACCTCGCTCTCTTCTGATCTTCCATTTATAACAGTTTCAAAACTCAACTTCAAATTAAAGAGTATTTTCTCTTTATTGCCAGTCTAATCAAGCATGACTTTCCTCATCTTTTGGTATTTTACAAGATTCACTCATTTAAGATAGTTACAAAACTATTTAAACAAAGCATTAAAGTTATTCAGGCAGAATTTAGAGCTCAAGTGTTTACCCATCTGCACCTGAATTCAGACCTGTGAAGCAAACCACATACTTGTTTCAGTACTTTGAATTACATGGTTTTTGTTTTAAGGTCATGCGTCTCAAACCTCATCTCATTAGCCTCTCTTGCCAAATGAGATGAGCACTTCCATCTGTTCCACTGAAGGCACTTCTGCAATTTCACAGGGCTCCGTGCATTACTACATTGGGAAATTAAAACAAATACACAGCGGTAAGCAGTACTAGAGCT